GATGGTGACTCAGGTACAACCCACAGACTCTGCTAGACACCAGCACTGCAGTGTCGTCTGGCCATGGGATGAGCCTTCATTTGGGGGAGGTAGACAGAAGGGAAGCTTCTGGAATCCAGCACATTCTTCTTGGTGGGATCTCCCTTTTTCCATGGGGGCATATGAGTTCAAGAATGATGTGAGGTCCCTGGAGTGATTCCATCCTGCGCGGCTGTCTTCGGGAGCCGTAGTCGTTTACCTCCGTCCACCTTCTCGCCCACCCAAGTGCGTGCCACCACCCCATGGAAGATTCGATGGACATGGACATGAGCCCCCTGAGGCCCCAAAACTATCTTTTTGGTTGTGAACTAAAGACCGACAAAGATTATCACTTTAAAGTGGATAATGATGAAAATGAACACCAGTTGTCTTTAAGAACGGTTAGTTTAGGGGCTGGTGCAAAGGATGAATTGCACATTGTTGAAGCAGACACAATGAATTATGAAGGCAGTCCAATTAAAGTAACACTGGCAACACTGAAAATGTCTGTACAGCCAACGGTTTCCCTTGGAGGCTTTGAAATAACACCACCTGTGGTCTTAAGGTTGCAGTGTGGTTCAGGGCCTGTGCATATTAGTGGACAGCACTTAGTAGCTGTGGAAGAAGATGCAGAGTCAGAAGAAGAAGAGGAAGAGGATGTGAAACTCTTAAGTATATCTGGAAAGCGATCTGCCCCTGGAGGTGGTAGCAAGGTTCCACAGAAAAAAGTAAAACTTGCTGCTGACGAAGATGATGACGACAAAGATGATGATGATGAAGATGATTTTGAAGATGAGGAAACAGAAGAAAAAGATCCAGTGAAGAAATCTATACGAGATACTCCTGGCAAAAATGCTCAAAAATCAAACCAGAACGGAAAAGACTCAAAACCATCAACACCAAGATCAAAAGGTCAAGAATCATTAAAAAAAAAAAAAAAAAAACCAGAAAAAAACACCTAAAACACCAAAAGGACCTAGTTCTGTAGAAGACATTAAAACAAAAATGCAAGCAAGTATAGAAGAAGGTGGTTCTCTTCCCAAAGTGGAACCCACATTTATCAATTATGTCAAGAATTGCTTCCGGATGACTGATCAGGAGGCTATTCAAGATCTCTGGCAGTGGAGGAAGTCTCTTTAAGAAAATAGTTTAAACAGTTTGTTAAAATTTTCCATCTTATTTCATTTCTATAACAGTTGATATCTGGCTGTCCTTTTTCTAATGCAGAGTGAGAACTTTCTCTACCGTGTTTGATAGAGGTTGTCCAGGTTCTATTGCCAAGAATGTGTTGTCCAAAATGCCTGTTTAGTTTTTAAAGATGGGACTCCACCCTTTGCTTGGTTTTACGTATGCGTGGAATGTTGTGATAGGACACAGCAGTAGTGGTGGTCAGACATGGAAATGGTGGGGAGACAAAAATATACACGTGAAATAAACTCAATATTTTAATAATATAAAAAAAGAGTGATGTGAGATCAGCAGGTGGCATGGTGGTTGAGGTGCTGGACTTCCACATGGTCAACTGTGGTTCGAGTTCTTGGACCTGTTGTCTTGAAACTCAGGCTGGATGCATATGTGTGCGCATGCCCACTATCCCTAGAGGAGAGTGGAGAAGGGCTTGAAACATGGCCTCCTCCCCCCAAAGGCGGTGATTTCTCACTTTCTCTCTCTGTCTGTATCTCTCTCTCTGTCTCTCAATGGTGAGTGCATGCACCCTATGGCAAAAACCTTTTAAAAAAATTAAGAAGATGTGAATTCAAGCAGCAAACCCATCAAATTTTACTTCATTCTGTGACCTGCTAGAACCCACAAGGGTGGACTGAACAGACAGCTTTTTGGTGTTCTAAAAGCCTGCACCAGCTGGTATTAGGATCAGGCATTAATAATCACTTACGCCAAGATGCTCGTTTTCATTTTTGAAAAGAAATAATTCAGATGTCAAGATGCAGGCAACATTGAAGGCCAGACTTACTTCATACTCATTTCTCAGGATGTCCCATTTCAGAAGATATTTAGAGTCAGCCTCAGAGCTCAGTGGTTAAAGGAGATGGATCTCATATGACCATGGTTTGAGTTCTGGCCATGGTGGCTTGAAAATCATGCTGGGTGAGTGTGTGCCCCAAATCCTTACAGGATGGAGAAATGGAGGAAAAGGGATTGTGGCATGACCACGCATCCATGGGGTGCTTTCTTTCTCTTTGGCATGTGCATGTGCTCTCTGGCAATAAAAACAAAAAAGATACTTAAATTATTATTACTAGGGCATACATGCCCAAGAGAGAAAGAGAGAGAAAGAGAGAGAGAGAGAGGAGGCAGAGAGAGAGAGAGTGACAGTTCCCGTTATGGAGCTTAGTCATGGTTGGGCGTGTGGGAGTGCAGCACCTTAATGATCACTTGGCCCCTATTATTACTATTAAAAAATATATATTAGTGGCTCCTCTGGCCAAACAGTTATTCCTGTAAAGAATTTTAAATGGGGGAGGAGCCTTAAATTGTTTTTTTTTAAAGGAGTGAGGTGGCAGGGGTATTAGGGCATTTAGGACATTTGTTTGTAGGGACCAGAGATCCAACCTACATAAGTATAATTTGAAAGAGAATTTATTGTCTTATGTTGCCAAAATATTCAAGAGTAGGGCAGCTTCAGGCGTAGCTGGACCTAGGGGCTCAAATCAGATCATCAAGATCTTGTTTCTTGGGACCAGCAGTTAGCGTAATGGCTATGTCACTGGACTCCCATGTGGTTGACCGCGATTCAAGTACTGGACCTGCTGGTTTAAACTCACGCCGGGCACCTGTGCGTGTGTGCCCAAGATCCCGAGAGGAGAATGGAGGAGAAGGGATTGCGGCGTGGCCATCCCCCCTGGGGGGCGATTTCTCGCTTTCTGTCTCCCTGTCTCTCTCTGTCTGTCTGGCGAGCGCACGTGCCCTATAGCAAAAAGAAAAACAAAAAACAAAAAAACACCTTGTTTCTTGCCCTTTCCTACTGTGTTTTCATCCAGCCTCATTCTCAAGCAGGCTTTCTTCACCTAAGTACTTCTTAGTCGCCACAGGCTCATTTCCTACTTGTTAAGCAACTGTTAGATGCTTGCAGATTTTGTTTTGTTTTGTAGACTTTTGCTAAAGTGCAACTTGCAGAGAGAGACAGAGAAGGTTGAAAGAGCGGGAAAGTGAGACCACCACCCCCTCCCCCCCGAAGGGTGGCCATGCCACAGTTCCTTGTCCTCCATTCTCTTAGCAGATATTTTGGGTATGCACACATGCCCCTGGATCTGGGACTCAAAACTCACAGTCAGCCATGTGGGCTCTAGCACCTTAACCACCACACTACCTTCTGGCCCAATGCTTACTGGTTTTGATTGTTCCTGTTTCACTCCGTGCCTAACCTTGAACCAGTTACTCAGGGCAGAGTTATCACGGCTGTCACTGGCTAGGCATGGGTCAGGTGTTCCTTATGGAAGCACAGAAAGACTGACATGCTGATACCAACAGGGGGAATGGGCTGGGCAGACAGAAATAACAGATGTCTGTCCTCTGCGGTGCTGCGCACACTCGGGGTCAATGCTTAATGAATGAGTCAATGTCAAACTCGGGTGCAGTCTGCACACTTGCTGGTTTAGTCCTTTACTACACTACTCTTGTTCTGTGGACCCCTGAGTTTAGAGAGACCTTCTAGTCATTTCTTGATTAATGTACCGTCCTGACTGCCAGTGCTTGCTAGGTCTGCTCCTAGTCAATCCAGGCTGCTGTAACAAAATACCGTAAATGGAGTACGCTATGAACAACAGAAACTTATTTCTCACAGTTCTGGAGGCTGGGAAGTCCAAGATCAAGGCCCCAGAAGATTTGCTGTCTGGTGAGGGCCCACTTTCTTACTGATGGCACCTCTTGTCTGTGTCCTTGTCGGGTGAATGGGGAAGGCAGTTCTCGGGATTGTTTTTTTTTTTTTTTTTTTGGAGAGGCTTTCACTACAGGGTGCGTGTGCTCGCCAGACAGAGAAAGAGAGAGACATAGAGACAGAAAGCGAGAAATCACCCCCTAGGAGGGATGGCCATGCCGCAATCCCTTTTCCTCCATTCTCCTCTCGGGATCTTGGGCACGCACGCACACGCGCCCGGCATGAGTTTTAAGCCACCGGGTCCAGGACGCGAACCGCGGTCAACTACGTGGGAGTCCAGTGACATAGTCATTACGCTAACTGCTGGTTCCCTCGGGAGTGTTTTTTTTTTTATAAGGGCAATCATCTCAGTCATCAGGGCTCCTCTTCTCAAAAGCCTCACTTTCCAGTATCACTTTCAAGGTTAAAATTTCAACATAGGGATTTGAGGGGGACACAAGCATTTAGATCATAGCAGGTCCTCAGCAAATGCTGCTTCTTTCTGTTCCTACTGCTAATTTCAGACTCATTTTACCTAGTCTTGGCTAGATTGTGACGATCCTCTGTTCTCTGAATTTGTTCAGTCAGGTCAGTAATACACACGATAGGATCAAATGGGCAGCCCAGGTATCTTTAATAAATATGCTTTGATATTGGGGGGAAGAAGGTAACTCTTGATCTTTTTCTCCATCTTGCCAGTCTTAGCTCAGATTGTTAGTGGCTAATTCTAATTCTTTCCTCTGTAAGGAAAGACACTTCTATCATGACACGAACTGAGAATTCCTAGTTCCAGATTTAAGAAAAAAATTGTTTGAAGGTTTGTTCATTCAAATCCCTGGCTTGTTTTCCTTGTTGCTACCTGCCTTCTCGAAATTTCACTGCTTATTAGCACCTCTGCCTGCAGGTGGACGAGGTAAGATCAAGGGGTTTAATTAAAGCCTTGACAGCATCCCATCTGTTTTCTTATTTCTTTATGGAGGGGCTACCCACTTGGTGATATTACTGTGCTAAACCAGTTTTGTGCATTGACCAAGAGGAACTGTGTTGCATTATTTGTGGATTTGGGTTATTTATTTATTTTCATTTTTGGTGTCTCTTTTTATAACAGGAAGTTGAAAGGCGTTTGTGAAGTCAACTCACTCTGGTGGTTGCCTAGACTTCAGATCTTCCTTTTGCCTCCATTCTGAGTCCTGTTGAGATCAAGGTGAAAATGAACTAATGGCAAGTTCGGAAAGGGGTAAGTTCATCGTTCTTAGAGTGCCTGTTATTTCTATATTTCACAGTCAAATAGAAAATGTCTTTAAACATCGGTCTGTAGGAACACAGATAATGGAGCTTACTATACATCGATTTTGTGTTGTCTAGTTTCCCATGTTTACTTTAAGCCCTGGTTGACTGGTTCAGTGCCATCAATTTGTCGTCTTTTTTTTAGTCTCCTAAGTATTTGTGTCTGGGCTGTGGTCAAGATAGACCAAAACCATTTTGATGGGGTTTTTGCTTTCGTTTCTCTACCACACAAGGCATGCCTTTGTATTATGAGAATATTTTTAGAAGGCTAATGATGTAGAAGGACTGGTGTTTCATTTCCCAGAGTTTCCCTCTATTCAGACACCTGCATTTGTCCTTAATTACTACTCCTGTGGTATTCGGTCTCTCTCTCTTTCATTCCTTGTCGGCTGTGCAGTGTTTTAAAATAATATTGGGAGGAAAGCTGGGTGCTGAGGCACATGTCTGCATTGGAATAAATAGTTGTTTCTTTCCTCTGCGGTTCAACAGAAGGTTCATTTAAGAGCAATTGCTGTTTTGTTACCATTTTAAGGAAATTATTTTCATCTTTTCCCGTAATCTTTGACTGTTCTAAATAACTGACCTTCTTTGGTCACTTCATTCTTTTTTCTTTAATCAAAAAATTTAAATATCATTTGTAACTCCTGCATTAGTTTAGAAATTGAAGATTACTGGGACCAGCAGTTAGCGTACTGGCTATGTCGCTGGACTCCCACATAGTCGACAGTGGTTTGAGTCCCTGACCCGGTGGCTTAAACTCACACCAGGTACGTGTGCTTGCATGCCCAAGATCCCGAGAGGAGAATGGAGAAGAAGGGATTGCTGCGTGGCCATCTCCCCTGGGGGGTGATTTCTCGCTTTCTGTCTCTCTGTCTCTCTTTGTCTGTCTGGTGAGCGCATGCGCCCTATAGCAAAAACCTCTCCAAAAAAAGAAAAAGAAAAAGAATGAGAATATTTTTTTGTAGAGAGCTGTTTTTTTTTTTTTTTTTTTTTGAGAGATTTTCGCTGTAGGGCACGTGCGCTTGCCAGACAGACAGAGAGAGACATAGAGACAGAAAACAAGATATCACCCCCCAGGGGGGATGGTCACGCCGCAATCCCTTCTCCTCCCTTCTCCTCTCGGGATCTTGGGCACACATGCACATGAGCCCGGCATGAGTTTTAAGCCACTGGGTCCGAGATGCGAACCGCGGTCGAGTATGTGGGAGTCCAGCGATATAGCCATTACCGTAACTGCTGGTTTCCCCCAAGAGCTCTTTTTCGTAGTGAGCGAGTGGGTCAAACTAGCACAAGTCAGTTGTGTTTCAAGTGATTAATAATCCCCACAGAATTAACAAGAATAAAAGCAATACATTTATCTTTGAAAGGTATTTCAGAAGGACTATATTTTCTTTCAGAAGCTTAAGCTTAACCAATTGCTTCTCTTTGATTTTAGATAACATTTTGTTTGACTGAAGTATAATGTAAATCCAGAAAAGCATACAAAGCTTTAGGTTAGTGTATAGGTTAACAAGTTGTCATAAGATGCACACGTCTGTGTAACTTGCATCTATGTCAAGAAACAGAATATTACCAATCCCTCAGAGTCCCCTTCAGATATTCCCCAGTTCCTGGTACAGACCCAATGGGTGACTTCTGCCCTGATTTGTGACACCCTCAGGTTAGCTTTGCATGTCTTCGTAATTTATGTGAATGGACTCATGAGGTCTATGAGACTCACTTGTGTTTTGGTGTGTAGTTCGTTCATTCTCATTGCTGTTAAAATTCTACTGTATGTGCCAGAATTTGCTTCTTTATTCTGGTATTGATAAGCATTTGGGTTTTTCTCATTTGGGGCTGTTAGGATTAGTGCTGTTACCAGTATTTTGTACCTAGTTTGTGGTGGGCATATGTGTGTGTTTTTATCAAGAGCACGCCTGTTGAAAGCAGAATTGCTGGGTTACAGGGTTAGAATGTGTTCAGCTTTAATTGATTCCCCCACTTTTCCAGAATAGTTGTACCAATTTACCTTCTCCTCCAGCAGGATATGTGAATTCTAGTTGCTCTACAACCTTATTTGTTATTTTCTGTCTTTTTAATTTTATTCATTTTGTGAATGTTATTTTGTGGTTTAACAATTGCGTTTCCTTGATTAGTAAAGAAGTTAATCACATATTCAATAGGTTTTTCAGACCTTAGTCCATTACTTTAGAAAATACTTTGAGGGGGCCCGATTGTGGCTCAGTGGTAAAATGCAATGCCCTGTGAGACTGGCCCACATGGGAGGATTCTGGCTTTGTGTCTGGAAACCTCCTTGGGTACTGTGGTCACATGTGTGCCCATGATCTGGGGATAGATCACTGCATTAAGACCCTGGTAGGTAGGGCTTGTTCTGCGGTACAGCACTAATGAGCTGCTCAGAGAAGCTAGATCCCACATGGTCAACATAGTTCAGATCCCCCAGCTGGTCAGCCTGGAGAACATCAGGCCCACGTGTGGGCCAGAGGGACTGGAGGAAGGAGATCACGGTGTGACCAGCCCCTGTGGAGCGTGTTCCTCTCTTTCTTTTTCCCTTTCACTGTCACGTTCATGCATATTCTGTCATGAATAAAGAAAAAAAATAGAAATGAAAAAGACCCTATGGGGATGCTGTCTATCTCTTGCTCATAGAAGAAAGAAAATAAACTTAAAACTATTTTGATTGGAGATACATTCTTTAGTCATTTAAGTCACAGCCAAGATTTCGGTGTTAAAAACAACATTAAACAAAAACATAGAGGAAAAAATTAGCATCATATATTGTGATATAAACCTCTAGGCCAAAGAACAAGTCTTCAGATCGTCCCTGTATTCTATTGTCTTCACTAGGTTTACAAGATCATTTTAAAGACACATGCAGTTGGAAAGTCATTGTCTGACTTCCTGATTTTGTCTTCCTTCCACATTGAGTGCATGTGCTGGACATCACAGAGAATGCCAAGAGGAAGAGTGTAGTCTTGACCTTCAAGATGCAAGAGCACGCCTGTTGAAAGCAGAATTGCTGGGTTACAGGGTTAGAATGTGTTCAGCTTTAATTGATTCCCCCACTTTTCCAGAATAGTTGTACCAATTTACCTTCTCCTCCAGCAGGATATGTGAATTCTAGTTGCTCTACAACCTTATTTGTTATTTTCTGTCTTTTTAATTTTATTCATTTTGTGAATGTTATTTTGTGGTTTAACAATTGCGTTTCCTTGATTAGTAAAGAAGTTAATCACATATTCAATAGGTTTTTCAGACCTTAGTCCATTACTTTAGAAAATACTTTGAGGGGGCCCGATTGTGGCTCAGTGGTAAAATGCAATGCCCTGTGAGACTGGCCCACATGGGAGGATTCTGGCTTTGTGTCTGGAAACCTCCTTGGGTACTGTGGTCACATGTGTGCCCATGATCTGGGGATAGATCACTGCATTAAGACCCTGGTAGGTAGGGCTTGTTCTGCGGTACAGCACTAATGAGCTGCTCAGAGAAGCTAGATCCCACATGGTCAACATAGTTCAGATCCCCCAGCTGGTCAGCCTGGAGAACATCAGGCCCACGTGTGGGCCAGAGGGACTGGAGGAAGGAGATCACGGTGTGACCAGCCCCTGTGGAGCGTGTTCCTCTCTTTCTTTTTCCCTTTCACTGTCACGTTCATGCATATTCTGTCATGAATAAAGAAAAAAAATAGAAATGAAAAAGACCCTATGGGGATGCTGTCTATCTCTTGCTCATAGAAGAAAGAAAATAAACTTAAAACTATTTTGATTGGAGATACATTCTTTAGTCATTTAAGTCACAGCCAAGATTTCGGTGTTAAAAACAACATTAAACAAAAACATAGAGGAAAAAATTAGCATCATATATTGTGATATAAACCTCTAGGCCAAAGAACAAGTCTTCAGATCGTCCCTGTATTCTATTGTCTTCACTAGGTTTACAAGATCATTTTAAAGACACATGCAGTTGGAAAGTCATTGTCTGACTTCCTGATTTTGTCTTCCTTCCACATTGAGTGCATGTGCTGGACATCACAGAGAATGCCAAGAGGAAGAGTGTAGTCTTGACCTTCAAGATGCTCGTGTATGTACATGGCAGAATGAAGCGATGCTTAATGAAACTTCTAAAATATGCTCTTATGGGGCCGGCAGGTGATGGTTGAAGGTGTGATGGTTAAAGGTGCTAGACTCCCACATGGCCACCTCTGGTTCAAATCCTGGATGTGGGGGAACCAGCAGTTAGCGTAATGGCTATGTCGTTGAACTCCCACGTAGTCGACTGCGGTTCACAGCCCGGACCCCGTTGCTTAAAACTCACTCTGGGCGCATGTGCGTGCGTGCCCAAGATCCCAAGAGGAGAATGGAGGAGAAGGGATTGCAGCGTGGCCATCCCCCTGGGAGGGTAATTTCTCGCTTTCTGTCTCTCTGTCTCTCTCTGTCTGTCTGGCGAGCGCACGCGCCCTATAGCAAAACCTCTCCCACCCCCCCAAAAAAAAGAAAAAAAAAAAGAAAAAAGAAATATACCTTCCAAATGCTTATATGGGAGCCAAAGGTTGTAATGGCAAAGGGTTGGTAATAACTTCAACGTGGAAGAATATTAAGTATGTTACAGTCCATCCATTCAGTGGCTTCCTCTGTATTAGATACATCGGTACACAACTTTCTCCAAGATACATTGCTAAATGGAAAAGAGAATGTGTAAACAGTGTATTGTATGACAGCATTCATGTAAAAACTGGGGGCAAATGTACGTATATCCAAAAAAGTCCATACGCAGTTGATTACATTAACTCATTCGTGAGAGGATAATTAGGTGGCTGGAGGGCAGGAATGGGAGGGACAGTTCACTCTACATCCTTTTCCACCGTTAGAGTTTCAAACAAGGTGAAGGTATTAGCTATTCAAAGTAAATACAATTAACACCTCCCCCCCTAAGAAAAGGGATACTATTCTA